GCTGAGATGGCTGCTCGTGCCCATGACGTGGCGGCATTGGCTTTTAAAGGGAAGCTTGCCTGCCTCAACTTTGCTGACTCCGGTTGGAGGCTGCCGGTGGCGGCATCCATGGACTCCATGGATATCCAGAGGGCAGCTGCGGAGGCCGCTGAAGGGTTCAGGCCAGTGGAGTTCGGTGGAGTTTCCAGCGACAGCAGTGATGAGAAGGAGAGAACGGTTGTGGTGGAAGAGAAGAAGAAGAAGCAGGCTATTGTAGATATGGGAAAAAGCTGCAGCAGATTAAACTTGTTTTATTCGGATGAGGAGGAAATGTTTGATATGCCAAGGTTGATTGACGACATGGCTGAAGGGCTTCTTCTTTCTCCACCCCAATGCTTAGCTGGCTACTTGAATTGGGATGACATGGAAACTGAATCTGATCCCAAGTTGTGGAGTTTCTCTATCTGATTGATGTTTTTGTTTTAGTCAATCTGTCTCTAGGGTTTAGTGTGTCTTTTGTTCGATTCATATGTATTTATTTGTTCATGAGTGAGTCGAACATGAAGATTTTTATTTTTGGAAATATTTGTGTGTTTAGACCATGGTACTGTGCTTTGTCTAGTTTCTAGATATAGATATTTTGGGTGTGTTATAGATATTTTTGGTATGAAAGATATTTAGGTGTGCAAAAGTTTACCTAATTTGGAATTATTGAATATAAAAAGAAAGCATCTAATGTTTGATGGAGAAAGTTTTGCCTCTTTCCAGGGTATGCATGTGTGCTACTTTTGTGAGCTGCCTTCCATTGCCCAACCAATACGTGTCACTTGCTCAGTCCATGTATACCCTTTCTCATTCTCTCAGTTGAGTTGCTTTCTCTTTCCTTTGTTCCCTTGGCTCTTGGCTATTCACTTTTTTTTGTTTTTGGTGCTGTTAATTTTTGTGCTTATTTTTTTTTCTACTGTTGTGGGCTGGGGGTTATTTTTCTTCGGCACAGATTGTTTTCTTCTTTGGTTACTCCATTCTTCTTTGCACACGTATCCACCTTGCAACAGCCGGTCGACATGTCTAAAGCCTTGAGGTATGCTTGGGGCCGGACTGCACTGGATATATCTAATTAAAAAGAACATAGATTCAATTTGTTGTTTTGTGAGTTTAAAATACATTATGGGACATTAGTCAATGGTAACAAGAGCTCCAGAACTCATCCGTAGACATGGTTTTAGAACGAAGCCTTCTCTTTTCTCGTTGAACGTGAGCAACAAGCCTTGTTGACTTCATTGAGGTACTGCACATCAACTATTCTCATCTCATACTTGTACAATAATATGATCCATTACCTGTACCCGTCAGGGATTTTTAAACTTCAAAAATTCCCTTACCTGATTCTCATTTTGCCTCGAAATTACCCTAGTTAGAGTTGGAGATCTGCTAAATATGAAGCATATATCGACATGTATCCGTCAAAAACTGGAGAACACTAAGGATCTTCTAGCAACCAATTAGCCATGTGGTATTTTTCTTGTGAAATTCGAGAGGGATCCCAAATTAGAATTCTTCCACCTAACTTTAGATTATAAAAAAGGTATAAAATAAAAAATATAAAAACTAAAGAAGATTTTTTTTTCATACAAACAATGGAAAGCCCCTACTTGGCACTTCCTTTTCAAATTGTGGTCATTTCAATTATCTTCAAATAAAAGGGGGGTTGGTTTAGTAGGACCAACACTCAACCCCCCCTTAGTTCATTTATAGCGGAGTAAATTGTATCGATATTATCCTCAACTTAATTATTTAAGTCAAATATCCAATATGGTGTTATCAGATTTGTGGACCTAACCAATTATGATGTTTTATCTCAAATATCAATGTAAGACTATTCATATTTTGATCTAACATATGTCATACTCAATTTCATAAAATTTATTGTCACGCTTTCGGACTGTTGGGTCATTAAAAACGATATCTTTAAACTTGTAGGGAAGAGGAAACAGATAGTTGCAAAGAGCTGCAGCTGGCGTGCACAGTAAAGCTCATAAATATCTCCCATTACTATACTCGCACAACACAGCTAAGCTAACTGACCTTTTGGGGGGTGCCTTCAAATTCCTATCAACTCCGACGTAATCATCCTC